TAGCTTACAAAATGTCCCGCACAACTGTAAGCAAGTTCTTGTCAGCTGTGGTTAGAAAAGAATCGGAACACAACACACGGGGGTGACTCACAATGGTAACAGTATAAAGCCAAGGCAGATACTGCCTTAGGGGTAGGAATTGCTAAGAACGGCACAAGGCACTAGGTCACAGCCGAGGCGTACCCGAGTTTTTTTAAAGCCATAGGTCGAAGGGGAGAAATAAATAAACATATTCATTGTGAACTAAGGCGTACGTAAAATGCAAAGCAATATATTGCAGTAGGTAAATTATGATACGTGGTATATATATGGGGGGGGGGGAGGGGAGTTCGAACCCTGAACTCCCTCAAAATACCAATGTGAGGTGATATGTTTCCGTCCGCACCACTCTACCTTTAACTAGAAAAATACGGATGCCTGCGTTACGACGCTATTAACCTAACTGAACAGTTATTAAACGATGATTCTTCTTCGACCCTTCTGTCAGAAAAACATACCAGGAGGCCAGTAACTCAGAGGGAAGCTTTCGCGGAGTCCAAATCACAACCCCCCCCCCCCCCCCCTGTGCCACACAACTGGGAATTAAACCCAAACTACCCTCTTTCAGTACACTAGTCATAACACTGCCACAACAGCTACCCAGTTAACCCATGAGCCTCAGCGACAATCCTTGTTACGTAAGCTCCAGAATTGAGCAAACGTGACTTGTTTTTTTTTTAATCATTATGTTAACAGTTGCAAGGAAATGTTCTGGGAAATTAAATTGGCCAGTGTGATATTGACCATACCCACTATTAAGTGCCAGAGGCCTACACAAATATGGGACTAGAACAATATGGCTATTGCACTTCGAGGTATGGAAAAGTACCTGTTTACAGTCTGCTATGGTGACTTGGGGCTATTCTTGAAGGCATGGAAAAAGTAACTTTTCTGTCTGCTATGCTGAGTCTGGGCTTATACTTTAATAAGGCATGGGAAAATACATTTCCTAACAGTCCGCTATGGAGACTTTGTGGATACACTTCAAAGTATGGACAATATATTTTTAACTGTCTGCTATAGTAAGTTTGAGAATATACTTTAAGACACTTTAAGGCATGGAAAAGGTACCTTTATGCTAAGGTGAGTATGGGGGAGGGGGGTGAATAATTGTTGACCAAAGTAATAAAACAGAGACAACTGACATTTCAGCCATATTAAAAGACATAACTAACTGCTCAGATCAGAAGAAGACCTATATTCTTTGGGCACGTTATGAGGAGAAAACGAGTACCTTGTGATGGTCGGTATCATAGCTGGAGGGAAAAGGGCAGATCGAGAGAGATGGAGAGAGAGAGATTATACTGGACAGTCTGACATCGTGTTCAAGTTGATTAAAAGTACACAAGAAAAAGTACACGAGACAGAAGGCTGTGACTACCAACACCACAAGGCCCATGGACTAAAAGAATAAAATACATACGATGTTTGTACAAAAAAAATATATATATTATTCTTTGGTTCCCTTGTGTACCTTGTAAGATTTCGGTGGAATCAACCATGTTACTGATTCACTTGCTGCCGAGTCAACCATGTTACTGATTCACTTGCTGCCGATTCAACCATGTTACTGGCTCACTTGCAACTGAATCAACCATGTTACTGGCTCACTTGCTACTGTATCACTGGCTTACTTGCTAATGAATCACTGGCTCACTTGCTACTGAATCACTGGCTCACTTGCTACTGAATCACTGGCTCACTTGCTACTGAATCACTGGCTCACTTGCTACTGAATCACTTGCTCACTTGCTACTGAATCAACCATGTTACTGACTCACTTGCTACTGAATCAACCATGTTACTGACTCACTTGCTACTGAACCAACCATGTTACTGACTCACTTGCTACTGAACCAACCATGTTACTGACTCACTTGCTACTGAGTCAACCATCTTACTGACTCACTTGCTACTGAGTCAACCAGGTTACTGAACACTTGCTACTGAGTCAACCAGGTTACTGGCTCACTTGCTACTGAGTCAACCAGGTTACTGACTCGCTGCTGAATCAACCATGTTACTGATTCACTTGCTACTGAATCAACCATGTTACTGATTCACTTGCTACTGAATCAATCATGTTACTGATTCACTTGCTACTGAATCAACTATGTTACTGATTCACTTGCTACTGAATCAACCATGTTACTGGCTCACTTGCTACTGAATCAACCATGTTACTGATTCACTTGCTACTGAATCAATAATGTTATTGATTCACTTTCTACTGAAAAACCATTTTACTTACTCACTTGCTACTGAATCAACCATGTTACTGACTCACTGCTACTGAATCAACCATGTTACTAGCTCACTTGCTACTGAATTAACCATGTTACTGGCTCACTTGCTACTGAGTCAACTATGTTACTGACTCACTTGCTACTGAATCAACCATGTTACTAGCTCACTTGCTACTGAATCAACCATGTTACTGACTCACTTGCTACTGAATCAACCATGTTACTGACTCACTTGCTACTGAACCAACCATGTTACTGGCTCACTTGCTGCTGAGTCAACCATGTTACTGGCTCACTTGCGGCTGAGTCGACCATGTTACTGACTCACTTGCTACTGAGTCAACCATGTTACTGGCTCACTTGCTACTGAATCAACCATGTTACTGATTCACTTGCTACTGAATCAACTATGTTACTGACTCACTTGCTACTGAATCAACTTTGTTACTGACTCACTTGCTACTGAATCAACCATGTTACTGACTCACTTGCTACTGAATCAACCATGTTACTGGCTTACTTGCTACTGAATCAACCATGTTACTGGCTCACTTGCTACTGAGTCAATCATGTTACTGGCTCACTTGCTGCTGAGTCAACCATGTTACTGACTTACTTGCTACTGAGTCAACCATGTTACTGACTCACTTGCAGCTGAGTCAACCATGTTACTGGCTCACTTGCTACTGAATCAACCATATTACTGACTCACTTGCTACTGAGTCAACCATGTTACTGGCTCACTTGCAGCTGAGTCAACCATGTTACTGGCTCACTTGCAGCTGAGTCAACCATGTTACTGGCTCACTTGCTGCTGAGTCAAGCACGTTAATTCATTTACTACTGACCCAACCATGTTACTACAACTACTGAATTACCTAGATTACCAACACTACTTAATTATCCATAATACCACCACTACTGAATTACCCATATTACTACCAGTCCTGAATTACCCATATTACTACCAGTCCTGAATTACCCATATTACTACCAGACAGATACTGGTGCCACTGGAACTTGAACTCTTCATCTGCTGCTAAGATGAGGACGGAGTGCTTATGGGAGTGCCTTGAGTGCTGAGATGTCAATTCTTAATTCAACATTCCATATTATTACAATCACTGAATTTGTCATACCACTTATTTACTACTGAGTCAACCACATTATTAACCCATTTTCTACTTAATCAACCATGTTACTACCACTACTGAATGATTCATATTACTATCTACCAAACCAACCACACTACCTCATTACTAACTAATTATAAACTATCAAATAAATTTATACTGTGGCAGAGTTAGGTTATCTACATTTTGAAACATATTCATCTTCAATTTGTCAGTTTCAACATTAATATCTTGTGATAATTAACAAAAATGTATACGTGCTACAACAAAGTGTTAACTCTTACTCCAATGGTATCAAGTATAGTTCTGCCAGGAACTTACTTATGAAACATGCCAATCAACAATCAACAAATTATGACTGGAATATTTTAGAAAACTACATTTACATCAGCATGTAATAACCTGACAATACAAATATAGGCTGTAATCTTATTCATACTTCTGCTATCATAAGTGCGATATTTTACACACTTGGTTTATTGGTGTGCAGACTACTGGTTCCTCTGCCTGTCAGGCAGAGATAATTTTGGATAAACATAGCAGTAGGTGAGAGTGCTAGTACTGCACAGAGTAAATCATAACAGCATACTATTTACTTAACTTGTTTAGTTTACTTTGAAATAACGAGATGTGGATAATTCAAATTGTTATAATATTCTGATGCATTAAAACAACTACACAAAACTGATTCCATTTTCACATATAATAATATTAATAAATATCAGATTCTGGGATTATAAGATTATTTCATATAGGTAAATAATAATAATCTTCAAAATACCTACACAATAATGTTACATATTATCAATATGAAATTTGTTTTTATTTATAACAACTGTACAGATACATTTTCTCAACAATACATATTCAGAATGAATAAAAAATTAACTAACATTAGTAATAGTAATTGAAATCAATGATATCTTATTCAACCCTTCTGGGTTTTATTTTTTTTATAACCATTATAATTGGGAAATATATGGATTCTGTTCAGATAAATAAACTATGTGATTTGCATGTGTGCTGGGACCCATAATTTCATAGGGAAGCTAAGAACAGTAACACTAACTTATGCATGTGATTAACAGGCAAGTATGAAGGGTTAGTATGAGGCTGGTAATGTTATTCTATAGTATATTATAGTTATGTATTAGTGAACTGTTGCTGCAAAATGGATTAAAATTATTTAATTAGTCTTTAAAACAACTGGTGTATTGGTTACAGTTAAAGGCCTATGCTGTATTGGGGGAAGGATGAAAGATGACTCATATGATATTTAAATTTACATTAAATAATTTATTATTATTTCAATCATTCATATTATTATTTAAACATAATTTTAGTCATTACATGTCAAACAAACACCTAATTATTCATTTATGTTATCTAAACTCACTGAAATATTTTACAAATGCACTTATCACAGTTGGGGGTATATTTTGATTTAGCAATTGAAATATAATTTAAATAAACGACTATAATTATTATTATAGTAATAATAGTAACAAACTGTGATGCAGAACTTAATACTTGAAATATTACGAACGATACAGATCATACAGTCATACACAGTGTTACATACCAATTCTGTCTATAGTAAATCCAGCCGGTGGTTGTAAAACTCTTCTTGCCCAGGCCGACCGCAAATTTTCAAGGTGAATATCTTCTGCGGTGACTAAAATTGTGCAAGGTTCTACAAACCCTTTACATTCTAAACTTTTAATACTTTCTACTAATGACGGATTCCAATAGCAAGTTTTATTCCTTATTTTGAAATCTTGTAACAACTCTTTCCCACTAAATCCTGCCGGAGAAAGAGCTTTACGAACTTCCGATGACTGAATAATATTCCCATCCGTCGGGTCGACAACAGTTTCATCTGCTTCGTCGTTTTCACAAACATCTCCAGAAAAATTCTTACTAACTTTTGGAATCAAAACAATCGCCAAGCACTTAGAAACCACAGGTAGATTTTTAGAGGCGTTTGTTTTACCGTCTTCTCGGTGATACTTCTGGGACAT